GACGCTTCCGTTTTAGAAGTTTTAACAAGGCCGCCTATCGATAACCAGAGATGAATTCCACAATCCTTCTACTTCTATCTGCTTATTATTTTTTTAAAGGTGGCATTCTTAATATTTGCAATAATAATATTGATTTATGTATTAAGTTGCTAGTTAATAAATGTAGGTGTAAAATACAAATATGAAGAACATCAGATATATGAATTACTTTTTGAAGTTTTAGAAACAAAAGTTAAAGCTAAGAGGAATAATATCAAGAAAGAGCAAACATGAATTATATTTCTTGAAAAAGACAAGAAACACTTTTTAATTACATTCTCTAACTAATACCACAGATAAGATAATATAAGCACTGAAAAGTAAAAATAATATATTATACAAAAACTAATATTATAATAGTGTGCAGAGTTTGCAACAGTAGTTGTAAGCGTAATAGAAATAAACAATGTTGTTTTATACAATTACACGATTATTTTTAATTCGACACAAGGAATTTGTGTATTGCTAGCTGTTATCCGCAACTTCATTTCTTAGATTTTTGTCCCTATTTCACCCCTGCGAGATTATTGTTACACAAAAAAATAGTCAATGTTGGGCTACAATCTAACTTCAAATTTAATTAGGATCCAGTGAGCTGTTTTTTCGTGAATAGGCAACAAATAAAAATACACTGTTAGCATGGAAGGACTATACGCACACAAATGTGACGTATGCAGAGAAATTACATCGTATTATAATGATGTGTTTATTGTAAGGCCATGGTACCCAGCAAGGATGCCAACTAAATAACGATCCCAGTACAAATACAGAGTTTTAGCATTTGGTACGAGAACATTTTCATTCTCACACATTTCTGTATGAGATTTAGAGATTCGAAAATCGGTCAAACGACTATAACGTTGAATGTACAAAATGTTAGAGAGCCAATTGAGGTAATATGCGAGTTTTCACCAGATTATTGATTTCTTTGTACTATGTTAGTGTTTTATGGTTGACAACCTCGGTACCTGGTCGCAAGTTGAGAGTCGGGAGTATCGATGCCGTCGGTGCGCGCCGCGCCGCTCGGCATCAGTATGCGGCATGCGCACATGACTCAGCCGACGTGACCCGACGCTCATTGTTCCCGAGTAGTATATACACTAGCCTTACTGTCATCCCGCATTTTCTAAACGACTAACCATTACCTTTTATGCCAATATATTGCATCGTAATAACACTTTGAATAGGACTTCAATAGTTCGTTTACGACCACCGTGAGATTCAGTTGCTCTACGCGTATGAAGATATAATATATGTCTTAGTAAGTGACTATTAACAGGTGCATTCCATGACGCCCTACTTGATGTAAAAAACCGATATAGATGTAGACATATATCAGAGAGGAAGTGACTCTAAGGGGCAGTCAAGACCTCAGTCGTAATAACTTCTATATATAATCATAACAATGGATATATATTACAAATTACATACATATATTAATAAAATATGTTATCAACATTTACGGCAAGTTCTTTATGGTTTAGATATCCAAGTGAAAATGCTCCAACTACATCTTACACCGACTACTTTCATAATGCGTTTAATACATATTGCTTTCATTTCTAATCTATATTATATATTGCTGAATAAAGATTTTGTCCGTAATATACTTATAATCACGATCTTGTAATTTTTATTATTAGGAATTACAAAAATGATATTTTCGTTTTATATATACGGCACACTATATTCTTACTATCACAATTTTTCTGTTCTTACACACAGTTTATGACTAAAAAAATCATATAATTAAGCACAATGTTTGCCTATAAATATATTTTTTTCTATATATCACGATGACAGCAAACAGCCTAAATGTAAATATTTCAATAATTTCTGTTTAAATTTTGTAATAATAAAATCGTAATTTACGTACGTGCTACTACTACTACTGCTACTACTAGCTACTACAAAGCTAGAATAGTTCGTAGGAATATACATTTGAACAGAGAAAACAACATTAAAGTTTAAAGCAGCCTATGGCAATTATTGTCATTGCTTGGCATTATGCATGAGCATACATTATGCATGGATTCCAATCGTTCTACTCCTCTAATAGTCTAGTAAAGGATGTTATAGAATTGTGCTTCATCGGTCTTTGTATGGTACCCATTATACATAAATTTTAAACTGTGATGGGTTTTGCTTACTGTCGATAGCAACTGAGGTTAGCCTTTTTATACAATTAGCATATGCTTTTTATACTTATTTTTTCACATTTCTTTACAAAGAACAAACTGTTTCTTTTTGTTCAGCCATTTGATCAGCCAAACAAACTGTTAGCCATTAACAAAAAGAAACAGTTTGTTATGTATTATTTATTAAAATGACTGCAGTGTATACTTATACTACCTGACACGAGCAACTTCATTTACGATTCATTTCCCCACCTTTTGCAATATTTTTCATTGCAGCTCCGCTCCTATTGGTCGTAGTATAATGTTATATAGCTTAAAGCCTTCCTCGACAAATGGACTATCCAACACAAAAATATTTTTTAAATTAGAACCAGTAGTTCCAAACAAACTTAGTATAGTTAATAAATACCAATTATGAAAGTTAATTCCATTTATGTTAGAAAACCATTAAAGTATATAAAATAGGCCAATAGCTAATACTTTAATCTGTTAATGAACTTTTCTACAGGATTGCAGATAGGACAACTTAGTAAGCTGTTTAGGATTATATTAGAGTAGAATTTATGATGTTCGGACAATCGCAACTTCCTAAATACGAAAATAATTAAGCTTCGTCCTGACGCCTCGTAAATAAATTTTAATATGTTATAGATAGGTATATTGGGAAGAAAAATACCATTATTAAAAAGCCTAAACTGAAGATTTCCATAAGAAATTAATCACTGTATCTACATACTTAGATACAATTGTGATTGATGATTGCTTGCAATAGTGGTGTTAATGTTTTACGTATATGTAGAGGAAAATTTTATGGTACGTGAGAATTTCTTCTTTCTAAACGAAGTCGTGGATAACAGCCACACATGTTGGACGGACGGACTGCTGAAGTGGCTTTTATCAGCCATAATTAATGAGTTCACAACTAGTATGCAAATGAAATCAACACTGTAAATTTTCTCGGGAATCATTTCAACGGGCAAGCGCCGCGGTGTCCGGCACGACTCAGGATGCATTTAATTAGATACGTTTATTAATCGCCCCCGTCGTGGTTATAAAGTCTACCTGAGTCAGGAGACAGGATGTTAATCTTCATTTCCTTTGAGAATCGTATGCTGTTAATGATAAATCATTTAGTTTCAATAATCGGTTATACACTAGTGGCAGCAGAATGAAACTTGACAGGTGCCCATGGCAAAAGTCATTATACGAATATTAGAAAATAATGTTCCATTATTTCAAAATTTGTATGATAGTTAAACTTGAAACTCTGAAATGTATTTGTTTTTCATTAATAAAAGTTGATGTTTTAAGCAAGAATTCAGTCCTTCGCTCACGATATGTATGTTATGTACTAATTTTGTTGAATTACTATCTATTATACAAGAGCTGATAGTTATACGTGTATGAAATTGCCGCTTCAAAAATTTAATCTTCTGCAAGATGAATTAGCTAAAGAAAAAAGAAGTAAAAACATGCTATTGCAATTTGTAATTTCTACTATTTTTACCAAATCAGGCAGTACTAATACGTGTGGTAAACCGCAAGGAGGTTGATACAGAATTTAATTAACCATGTAACCAAGCGGTGGTATAACCACAAACAATTTACTTGTATGTAATACATATCCAATTGTGATGTCGCACTTTGAAAATATCAAAAATGATGTAAAATAATGCTACGGTTTTTAGGAGTATGAATTCCAAGTGTGCACGACGCGCCTCTTTGTATATTATTTATGTATTTTGTAAATATATATTGTCATTCTTGTTCTGCTATTTTACTTTTATACATAATATTATATTATTGCTTCCTAAAATCCGTGTTTGCATAATTATATCTACCAGCCCCATATATATACAGTCCTTTTTTCACACTAAGTATACGAGTATATATATTGATGTTGTATCGATAGTATAATATATCAATGTTTAACTAATTTTTATTCTTTAACATAATTGTTGTATAGATTACATATGTTTTATATTACCTATGTGAAGTATCTAGCTGATTATTATTTATACGTGTTAATTGTATATTGTATATAATTTTATAAAGCAACAATATTTGTTGAAATCAGGAAAGGAGAGTTAGGTATTCTTATGACAGTAACATTTAAGTTAAATTTTTGCCCTCTCTGTTTCCATGTTGTTTGGTTTTCTAAACTTATAAATACTTCAAATAAACTTCAAACTTATAAATAATACCATACTTCGTAATACAAATTACATAATATTATATTGCATGAGTAATTACAGTATTCAGTCAAAATTTTCAGTTATTCAGTTAAAGTCGATTTGTCAGAAATATTGACATTTCTGTAATACCCTTAAAGTAATTGGATTGAAAAAGAAGTCTGTTTGATTGATTATGCAACAGACGGAGATAAAAAGCAAGAATGTAGCCGTCTGAGCAATATGTCTTCTTAAATGGACGTTCCTGACAGATACTGCACGCCTTCGATGGGGCTTGAACGTTACTCCGCTCATACAATTTCCTTTCTGTGAAAGTTTAATGCAAATTATACTTCCCTGCAATTTAGCTTTGAATACCGCTCGTAATACATGCACGAGGTAAACAAACTATAGTTAATGTTTTTTAATTATCTCTATGTTTGATTACCTTCAGTATATAAAATTACTTATCTCTGGTAAACCAAGTTTAAAAAGGAAGAATCGCATTGTTTTGTATTGTTGTTGTTGTTGTCATGTAAGTTTCTTACACGCGAAGTCAGTTATTTTGTGAAACTTCTCGAAACAACAAAAAAATAGATAAATTGATAATCAATAAATGAATCTTCATTAAAATACCTCTACTTTGTTTCAGCTCAAAGAATAACGACCATACAGTTGGACGGAGTACAATATTTCATCTCAAGAATGAATCCTTACAGTCCGGAGCTCAACTATTTCTTAGCTTATCAATACTGCAGGTATGACCATTTCATATTTTTCTACACTATAGCCCTTAGAATGTCTGCAAGCTCTTGCAAGATATATTTCTTAGCATTTTCGCCGCGTCGTGATTCACAATATCCTTATCTTCCGTGTCGTGTCGTGGTCCTGTTCAAATCCTGGCATAACTAAACTTGGGTCGGTGTTAACAAGCTCGCTCAGGTTCGACGCCTTGTGACTTGCCACCAGGAAGTAAACACCATAGGGACATTTGCATTACCGTTAAGGGTTCTGGGAAATTTCTAGAACAATATGGACCGATGGACCATTTCCGCAAGCCAATCTGGCTGTTAAATATTACTACAAGTTAAGGATTTAGTTACTACTCATATAAATGTATAGGAAAGAAAGAAACTGTATACATTAGAATAAATTTTTGAAATTACGACTGAATTAAAATTGCCATCAATTATAGTTCTATGTTAGGGTTAATTAGTACCTATGATGTCGTGGTCAATGAATCCGTATAATTATGAAATAATACATAAGTTGTAAATGGTTTGCCATTTTGTTAAAACCATTTCTCTAGCTTTCTAGTAAGGAAAATAGGACTAGGTACTTTAGATTGAACCACGTGCACGGTCAAATTGCTACAAAAGGTCAGTCGCCTCATTGTTCGGTCACGATGTCCTTCTTCGAAGCGTAGCTGTCACGACCTATTTAGTATTTACTGTTCCAATTGTTGTCGTTGTGAACGTTTATTCTTGACATTAGAGTATTATATTATATTAAAAAGTATTCTCTACTGAATATTGACTATGGCAATTATATGAGAAAAGGGCGAGTTTGTATTTAATTAACTTATGTTTCATTAATTATAAATTATATCAAGAAGTAAATATTTTTCAATTTCAATGAACGTGAACTTTATTATTTGTAGATAGTTTCTTGATATTGTTAATTAAACTATCATAAAGAAGGGATATACATATAAAAGTATAGTCTAAACTCTGGATGTAGATGTAGTATCTTTCAAACACTAGTCGATACATATTAAATTACAATATTAATGAAAATTATTAAATCGCATTTACAAGGAGATATTAAAAAAATATCTCGTAAGTCGAGAAATTTTTGATAGTTAACCGAATTGTTATGCAGTATCGAAATTTTAAATGTCTTAATTTTCGAAAGAACGTTTATGTTGATAACTGGTTAAATAAATTCTCAAATAAATATTCATTATAAACATCCAAAAAATAAGAGAACTCGTCTTATACTATTGTAATTATTACGACTTTTACTGTTTGACGTTCGAGTTAAGTCGATCACGAAAAATATGACGGTATTTCAAGAAAGAGTTTTTATCAGAAGATTCTGATCACAGAGGCGCATCTTAATGAATACTGTGTTTAAAAATAACTCAGTAACGGGAACAGATACCATGGTCGCTGTGTCAGACGTTGATGTATTTTACGTTAACTTTATTTTTCATTAAGCCTTTTAGTTTCATTTTGCAGCCTCTTACGGTAAATACTGATGATGACACTCGCAAAAAAATATTCAGTTGAAGTGCATATGGTGTTAACAGTATGCCGATGTTGCCTTAATGGACATAAGTGGATGCTTTGCAGAATTTCATGACGTATTCATGTGGGCTATAATTTATGATGTTTTAATTCAGCGCAAGAGTCGAACTCGTTACGTGTTTCGCATTCTAATGGGCACTTTTTTCAATGAAAATGAGACAACTGTACCAACACGCTTACTTGGAACTTTAATTAAATTATTTTTTATTCATTCACAATAGCTGTGTATGTGTAATCTGTAGACTTGTGAAATGTCATTTGTAATTGCATATAATAATATCTTTGCTACGAAAAGATCAGGAGATTAGTATTTATTTTATGGTATTATTAATGTACCCAAGATTTTACTAAAATAAAGAATTTATTTGTCGTAAGAATGAATTCAATAGGTACATAATAATATAATGAAATAACGTTTAGTGTCTTTTAGTACCATAACATCGAACTATAAATAGTCATTTTCCTACAAATAACATTGTTTGGGAAATTAAAAATATCCTTACTAATTACTATTATTACCGTATTTCATAAAAAGAAAATTCTGAAAACGTTTCTAAGGAATTCTAGTAAAATACGTCTTGGTATATATACATATTTATGTAAAATTAATTTTTAAGTTTGGCTATATATTATACTAATAGCTTCAGTTAAATAAACGATAAAGTCTATCTATTTTATTTCCGATGACATGACGACAAGATAGTACAAATGTAAAAAATGCTTTATTTCTTTATGTATATTAAGCAATTAAACAGAATTATAAAATTCTAGTAAATAAAGACATTAAAAGTTCATAAAGTTCTCGTATAGCGGTCATTTTAAAGACAAATGTTAATTTTTAAAATTTCAATATTGTAATGTTTTCGTTGTATGTGATTGATATTCTTCAAAATCAGCAAAAATACAGTCTTTATTCATAAAAGTTTATAGGCGCCATTATTATTAAGGAAATACCTGTAATAACTTTAAAGTGTTATTGTTATTACAAAATATAATAGCTACGCGATTAACGTAAAGGTTTTTAATCTCTCAAGAGTTTTCTGAACTCGTACTCGGAATGCTGTCCGGTTGCAACGTGGCCTATCTTTAGCGAATAAAATTGCCTCCCGATGAACAGGCTCTTCTGTATGGTATCTATAGTAGCTAATAGCTGAATACAATTAGGGATGTGAAAACACACGAACAAAACGATTATTAATCAATTCATAATCAATTTTTATATTCCAAATCCATATATTTTTATACACATGATTTTATTATCCGACTTATTCATCCAAGGCTTAAAAATGTTGTGTTTTAGGTTTTAACGTTTTAAATTTACATACAGTAGTAGGGGCTCATAAATTAGGTTGGCAGAAGTAAGTTTAATAACTAGATTATGTAAATGTAAATAAATATTCTATTTTTATTAAATCGATTATTATTCTAACAAAATAATCAATATTAATACCGTTTGTTACATCCTTAAATACGATTAGCTGGGGTTGTTATTTAGTTAAATCACGTACAAAGATCCGGTACGACAGGTCTATACCTGCCTACTGTCAAGGATCGAGATGTTTCATATCGCATGTAAAATAATGCAAGTATATATTTTCAATTTTACTGTCAGTGACATTAGATTATTGTAGCAGAAGGTGTATTATAAATAATAGTAAATGTTGCGAATGCGAAACGGTGCGCTCTAGCTGCATAAAATATGTACGCTAGTCGCTAGATAATCAGGGTTACCAACTTTTAAATAATTAAATATAAACTCTGGTAAAATCTTGTGGTCAATTTGGCTCTTTAACTTCGTATCATAGGATTTTTAATTTTTAGGAATTTTCCAAAACAGTCATAACCTGAAACAACGTTGTATAAGGATGTAGATGTCCTCGAACCAAAAGCCTTAAATCTTGTAATTGTACAAGGGTCCTTGTAACGTCGGCATCCTTGATAATGTTAACATTGCGCCTACGTAAATTGTTGTCGTCATTTGTACAAGGATTTCGCGATTTATTATTATTTGATATTACGGACATAGATCTTTTGTAGACGGTGTGAAATAGAGCTGCTCCAAATGATAAATATTACGTACATATGTAGATGTACTATATATGTACGTAATATTTATCATTTGGTACGTATAAGAACTCCAATTTTCAATTCTATTGTGTCAATTATACGGGTATACAAGTAAATATATTTCTTTTTGTTAAATAATATAATAATAATAAATTTTATTTCATCTTCACTCAATTATTTGTATAAGGGCTTTGCAAAGGGGCGCATTGCTTTGCGAGTTTTGTATATATTGATAAAATATATAGCGCATATCAATCTGGAATGTACCTTTTAAATAGTGGAAGAATTTCACAATTCCATTCAAAATACGTACTCTCCTTTTATAACACAATTTTTTTTATTTAGGAAATTATTTAATAGAATATTTCTGCACAGTGTTATGTATTTTCACGATAGTTCGTAACCAAATAATTACAAAAGTAAGAGTAACAACAATAATTTGTAAGTCGTCGCATTGAGATTTATGAGATTTTATGTGTAAAAGTTAGCCAAACAAATAGGAGATATATTTTTTAATTTTAAACTTTATATGCTTAAATTCTATTTAACTATTATTTCAGATCATTAGGTCTACAATTAGCATCATTCGAGACGAAAGAAAAGGCAGACTCCATAACGACATATCTGACTAATGCAGGTGAGATTAAACAAATAATATATTTTGCTACTTTGTATTTGATTATTGTAATTATTTCTTCGTAGGTACATGCTAGAAAACTTGTTTCTACTGCTCTGTAATTACTCTGAGACATTAAAGGTTGAATGGAAGGAATCCCGCATACTGGAATAGGGAATCTTTTTACTTTATTTTTTTAGGATGTAACGATTTAAAACGAATCTATAGCATAATATATATATGAGAGATTATACTGCAGTAAATATAATTTAAGTTGTTAGTATTTAAGTCAGGGATAGGTATTCGTTATTCTATTATTAATGTAAAATCGTTGTTTCATATATAATATTAACCCGGGAGTATTTACACATCGCCATCAAGTCCGAAGCTAAACATAACCTATTACGTTATGAGTACTAGACAGTTCATATAAATATATTTTTTTGTAGGTATATACATAATGTATTAATGTATAAATGATCATACTTTTAAATGCAAATGCTTGCATTGTGCGAAAAATTGTTTGCGCGACGATCGTATGGTAAACCATTACAACTAATGGGGCGATCAAATATGAATATTATAATATAATAATAATTAAATACAACAATTGCTGATCATTTAACCTATTATTTCCAGGGTATAACAAATACGACTTCTGGACGTCAGGCAACAACCTCGGCACTGATATGTACCTGTGGATGAGTACGGGATTGCCATTCAACGCTACCTTCAACTACATGAGAAGGTTGACCATGGATGTACCCAGCCAGCGTTCCGACGACAGCATTGACCCCCTGGATGTACCACAGGGTAGCACGGCACCACAACGCACCGCTAGACATGGGTACGCATCATTTATTTACGAGGATTTTATTATTTGCATCCCATTATTCATTTCATTATATACAAATTACATATTCTTGGTGGGTAATACAGTATAATACCCACCAAGGAATAAACATTATCTCAATATGAATGGGTAGTTATTATTGCAGTGGATTTATTTCTATGAGAAAGAAGGAATATGATTTTTACGACACACGATTAATTTAAAAAAAAAACAGAAATAACACTGCCAATAATAATATGAACAATACTGTTTTACATTGAGTGACATGAAAATTTTCCTATGAATAATTTACGTTAAGTACTCATTATAAATGGAATAAATGCCATTATTCCTATTATTTTGTATGATAAGAATAAAAAATGATAAAAAATTCTATATCTTACAAATAATATTATTTTACATAAATAAATCACTTGTATTTATGTAAAACAATATTACTTGTAATTAATTTATTAGTTTTGATTAAATTCAATTGCTATATAAAATAAAATATAATATATATCAATATATATAGAGAAGTCCTATATTGAAAACGTAATTCTTGTCTTAAAACCTTAATATTATGTATCTAATTTATAATAACAGACTTGAGACTCTACGTCAGATAATAACCGTAACTATTGATTAATATCCGTACTTTTTTTAAAGTAATAATCTACTTTAAAAGTGTATATTATTATTAATAATATATACTTCTTAATGAGCACTGTCTTTATGCACGAGATTCATCTTAGTAATGCGCAAAGATACTGTGTTGCATAAAAACTAGTCGGTATTCCAGAACGGAGCATGTGATGACGAACGGGTGCGTCGCTCTCAAAGCGCCGACCTTCCATTGGGAGCCACAGCACTGCGGCGAGATCAAGGATTTCATTTGCGAGCAGACCCGCTGCTACTACTACAATTATGGCTCCATACCCGTATCCTCGGCGCAGGGGTAATGCCAGGTGAGATGCCAGCCGTCTCCGGAGGCCCGCTCCCCGACTAGCCGCGCGCTCTCCAGTCTTTATAATTAACTTTTTGGGCTCATCGTTTCGATGTCAAGTACCATACGTTAACCATAGTGTACAGATCGACATACTATCATGTAGGTAGATTGTGCTAACATCTAGTCCAAGTATACCTTGGTTCTTAAATGTTTAAGCGCGCCGGTCCGCGGGATTAGGCCTCTGCGCCAACCCAACCACCAAACAAGAGCCCTACACCCAGCAGAAAACGTTCGGAATTTCACATTACTCCTGTTGAGCACATAACGATTCAAAATTTATAAATTATTTGGTGGGTGGGTGAAGGGGGCTTTGCTTGGTATCTCTTGTTTAGTTATTGATTGATATAATCTTACTATGGTCATAGTATTTATTCTTTACTAACCGTATTTTTTTAACAACTATATAAATTTCTTTTATATAAAAGTAATTGATCGAATCATCGATTTTGGAAAGTTGTATAATTTTGGAGTGTCATCAACGTTCATAATATATGCTTTAATATAATTGCAAGTTAAAAAAGTAACATTCAATATCATTAATATTACTTTGTTAACTTGACCAAAAACTTTAACTGAAATTGATGTTAGAGTGAATATCGAAGTTCGTCGATGACCCTCCCATTTTGGCCAGCAGGAAGCCTCTCTCGCTGACGACCACGACTACCGCGCACCCGCTCACATCATCGTCTCCTCCGCCACCGCGCTCCGAGCACTTGCCAACCCACTTCACCTTGAATGACCTCATAGGCAAGCTGCGGCCTTCCTCTCTTGACGGTCTCCAGTCCCCGCACCTCAAGACAAATGCGTTGCTCAAATCCCCACCGCAGATCGACTCACATTATTCACGAGCAGCAGATGCCCACGCGCATGACCACGAGCATGAAGAAAAAGAGGAGCCAACTCAAGGGCCCTATGCGGAGGATGATGGCATGGTTGGGGACGACCCCGCAGCGTACTTGGGGCAGGAAGTCCACGACGCGCCTGCAGACGATGCCCCGTCGACAGCCGAGCCGGACGCTACCGAGCATTCCGTCCACGCCAGCGGTATGCTGGCACCCCCCTCCTATTAGCGTCCGGCTTAGTGCTCTCATTAGTGTAAACGTTTCATGACAATTAGAATTGAATCTACCAAAAGTATTATTTTCATTAATTAGAAGCTTTTACGGAACGAGTTTAATTATTGGAGCTAACGTGCAAAGGGTGCATTTTATGTCTTGGTTAATTGATTATTATTCTCTTGATATTTCTAAAATCATAAATTGCATAGAGTAATTTATGATAATTATGGTGATTTCGAAGGTTTTTGGGGCAATAATAAATGAAGGTGCTGGTGACTCGCTCGATGCGACTTGCCTCCGTCTTCCGAAGTGCTGAATATCACAAAACGAGTATTCCACGAAATATATAGGTACCTAAACATCGATAAGGCGATTAAGTAAGTGTGTCAGATCTCTGGTGTTTTCATTAAACCGTAAAATGTATTAATTTAATTTAAGAAAATTGTGCGGATATTATTATTTCAGGACATATCATTCGTATAGTGTTATAAGATAGTGTTTATAAACGTGACGTACCTAGCTAAGTGTATTAAGTTGAAACTCAAGAATTTAAAGAATAGTGATGTAGCGAAGTTAATAAAGTTCAAACTTTTTAAGAAAACCTTTGTTTTGTTTACTACACCTGAATATATCAGATACGAATTACCAACAAAGTTTTGAAATTTTTATGTTTAATTTGTGCTTGAAGATTTTCTATCAATATGTGTATTATCAAAACTTAGCATATGAATTCGTTAATACTGATTTAAAGTGGGTAATAAATCACTCACCAACCATTGATGACTCCTTCGACGTTGAGCATGGGAACGATCTTGAACACGTACTTGGCTCGTAGCGCCGCGGCGGCCGTGGAAGCACCTAGCAAGCAGTCGAGAGTACCGTCCATCACCCACGACGCGTTGCTCTCACCAGGATGTACGCGCGCAGTCAGGAATATTATCTCCCTCTCCTGTTTGGATTGGTACAGAAATGTTATTTTTTATTATTTATTGATGTACTACAAAAGGGTCTAGTAAAACGTACACGTAACCGGCGAACTTATATGTGTAGGTTAACGAATATAGAGGAAACAAATGAGGTATTCTGACTTTGTATTCAAATTCAAAATCATTTATTCATGTAGGACATTTTAGCCGCTTATCAACGTCAAGTTTTTACATTCTCATTTTAATTTTTTTCCTACCGTACAGTTCGGTATATAGATCCAATTGAGAAGAACTGGCAAGAAACTCAATTGATTTTTTTTTTAAGCCAGTTTATTTACAATGTATATTTATATAGGTGTCTATGTCTAACATTAAATGAAAATTCAGTGCATGAACAACTATTGCCATGCACACTCGTCATTCAAGTAATCGTTTAGTGAGTAATAGGCTTTGCTCAGTAAATATGATTTAACAGATGTTTTGAATTTATTTAACGGTAATTCCCTGGTATAATTTCGTTTGCAGTTTCACTTATTACATTGTTTTATAGGCACTGTTTTGGTTTGAACTATAGCGACAAGGCAGTAAAATTACAGGCTACGGAGCCATGACAAAGTAATCCTTCGGATTAATCTCGTGAGAGATATACTGGGCATCACATGACGATTTTACCACTATAGTACTGCGGAGATATATATATCTATATATATATATCCATCAGTATGCTTGTAATTACAGTTGCTTAAAAAGAAATTTTAATAAAAGAATACAAACCACGATGGGATTGGTAGATGTATCTTCAGCTGATATGGTGAGCAACGGGATTTCGTTGTTGTTTAACGAATAACACAGCGGTTCTGCACGAAGATACGCTCCGGAAGGCATTTGCAAGCTCCATTCCCAAATTCGTGCCTATAATTATGAAACATAGTGCTTTTATTTTAAACAGTACTTTATTTTTATATATTTATAACATATTCTGTAGAATGTGTTTACTCAAGTTCTAAGTTTTCATAAAGCAAGTAATGGTTGAGTTGCTAATAGTGTAACAATGACCATCTATAATTATAAAATAGCTAATATTAAATATATCCTTACCAACATCATAGAGTAAGTAAACGGGAAGTGGTAGGCGAGGTAGCAAACGTCATTCGTATGCGGGAACTCTATATTGAATGTGACTGTTAGGTAACACTTGTTATGATTTTTCTGGTTCGCGTAGTGGTAACTGTTTTTGTAGTAGCAGATGTCCGATCCGGCTCTCACCCACCCTGGAACCATAATTTTTTTAATATAATTTGATATAATATTCGTCATTTATGGTTGCTCAATTATTATTTATAAATAATTTCTAAGTTTTACCTGCCGAACTGCAGTTCTACTTTTTGGGAATTTTCAATAACTTTTGTTCACTAATAATTATGCTTTCAAAACTAATCTATCGTTCATTATTTGAGGGGCTTTCATGATTAGTCAGTGATTGAATTGGATTTTCTTAACGTCAGTGACTTTACGAAAGATAAAATATATACAAATCGTAACAATTTCAAATTTACCTGCTTTTCCCATGACAGCTTCTTTAACGGAATACATGACGGGTTTCATCCCGAAATTAAACTGACTGTCAGACTTTTCACAATTGACAATATTAAAGATGTAAGGTCGACCCTGCTGCATGTTGCGTACTTCAAAATAGAACCACTGATGTCTTTTGTTGGAGTTTACATCCGGCATAAGAATCAGTTCATACTCTCTTGGACCTACCTGAAATTATTTGGTACTCTACGATATATATTTAGCTTAACGTTTTTAACGTTAGGTAAATTTTTAGACTTTCTCACATTTTTATACCATTGTTATATTACAGTGTTATAAACTTATATTATGTAGAGTGTTATGTCCTCAACATTTCATAATTGTTTCAAGCACATTACAATTTACATCACTAAAATCGTTAATTTATAAAACCTGTTATGAGGTTAAATAGATAATTAATAAAATGCAAAATTGCAGAGTGCCGTAGAATATGGGGTACTAATTTTACAATTATTTATACTATACTATTATTACTATGATGACAAATATTACTGTCACAAACCTGAATAGCTTTTCTGAGATTCCCAGATTCGAATCGGGACTCGAAGCTTAGTCGCGAGGAGAAAGTGTTGACTTTGGTAATTTCTTGTTCATCATTATTACTTAGAAATAAACTATCAGAACTGAAACTGAATAATGAAACATCTTAATAAGAAAATGTTATTTATTGAATAACAGTAACATTACCTTTAATCAGGCACACAAGGCAAACACAATACAATAACAGGCAAATAAAATATATATTACTGAATAGAGGACTACAGATCTATATAATGAGTGTACCTATGTACTCGGTAAGTGGCTCCTATCAACTCTGTCATTCACATATATATATATATACTTAATACATAATATGATGGTGCTATCACAAAATCGAGTCCTTGTATTCGCATATATATACATACTAAATGTAGCATATATCAGTGTATCTATGTGTGTTTTCTATGAAACAGCAAACATATTTACTGTTTTTTAAAGAACAAACAACATTATAGTTACTGGATTTTCAAAAATAAGAGAGTTTGTTTTTGTTTCTGTTGCGTTATTTACAAGTTTGCCCCTATACTATCATCATCATGTGAATTTTAGGGAACGCTTAGGCCTGGTTATTCTTAATGTTATCTTTATTTTACCTTTTTTGCAAGGTGGTATCCACATTAATTACGTTACTACTACAGAGTTGATCTAGATCGTATACAACTTCATTCATATAAGCTTCAGGGTTTATGGCACGGTCAACACAGGAAAGAAGTTTTGTCCTGCAATATTAAAAGATGTATATTGTTAAGTAATAAAAATTATTAAAGAGAAATGACTAATAAAGAGGAAATGTATATATGAAATTTATATACCTGAAATTGTAAACAAGCTGATGTCCCATCTGATGGGAAGTGGTAACTGTTGCTTATATGTTTACATGAATAGCAAATTTGGGTAAAAATGTAAAATATAAGGAAATTTACAAAAACTTCGATGTAATTATAGTTATATTGCAAGAACTATGCAATATTTTAAGATTAATTTTAAAGAGTCTGATACGAAATATACAAATTTACCTGCAAGCGGATCGTTCCATTTTATTAAGAGGTTCGGGTTGATTGGAACCTTGACCACCCATCATATCTGGGTATGCTACTTTTACAAAGGGTATTACGCTGCGGACTCTGGAAGATATCGTACTATACACTACTGCAAATGTGCTATATTTAGAAATGTCTTTATGTATCTTCAGTGACGAATACGATGTAGATGCTGAAATAAATATACAGAGTCATCATATCGAATGGAAAACAATTTACAAAGAGTTATATGAATAAACTTACATGAACTTTCCTGAATTTTATTATATCCCTGAAAGAAAGAAGTCGTGTGCGACGATCCCGTAATAGAATCGTAATCAGTACTTCCTAATACAGCAGTTAATGAAAGATTCAACGTAGGCATGACTCTATTACTTCCCGATTGGGAAGACAAAAAATCTTCTAATATAGATCCTCTAGAATTGGAACGACTTTTAACAAGTCTCACTTGTTTATTGTACGATCCAAATTCTTTAAAATAAATAAAATATCTGTAACAACCAAACAAGCAACCTATGAAAATATTTGTAAGTACTTATAATATTTAATATAATTAAAAATATTATTCAAGATTATATATCATTTATTCGTAGTAAGTATCCTAAGTGCTTAGTTGCATCAACAATGCATAGCATGGCTACAAATAAACAAAGCAACGTTAAGTATAGTGATCGATCAGGTCAGGTCGTTAACAGTGATGACACCCATATTTCAGAAACATACATACATATGTAAGAAGTTAAGCCTTAAGAGTTATACTTTTATACGTGGCTGTTATTTATATTATCATGAATAAATAATTTATATACTTTTTCAAGTCTTCTATTTCTCTCTCATTAGGATTGATCCATAGGGCACTTTGTAAGCTATCACCACTTCTAGTGTGAACTTTTTCTTCATCGTTTGCATCAGTTTTAATCTCTCCGTCTTCAAAATCAATATCAGCAAACTCATCTCCTTCAATATCAGAATCAGGTCCATCATCATCAAGATCTGAATTAATAGTTTTCGAGTCAGAGTTTGCTGCATCTTCTTCATCTTCATGACAAGGCCACGATGTGTTTGTTCCTGAATATTAAATAAATTTATTTAGAAATGTGTAATGTTTACGATTTTAGTTTATGATAAAGGCAACAATATCATATCAAATTCGTATTCATATTACACGACTGAATACAATAATATTGTATAATAAGTAAGGTACAAGGTAAACTAAGATAACATTGTATGATTGATTGCTTACCTTTTAAAATTGGACTAAGATTAAAAGAAGCTGGACTAGAGGCAGGAACAGGTAAGGCTTGGTGCTTAAGACACAATGTGATAACTGAGCATACACGAGCTAATAGTCCATCAAATTCTGGTTCGTCTGGACATTGTGAACAAAATCTATGTAGTGTCTGCACATGCTTCTTTGTGCATAACGCTCGACGTCCTGCTTCTGAAAATACATTTTTAATAATTTGAATTTAATACAAGTTCTTTATTACTTCAACTCCACCGTATATAATAATTACAACAATAATGGTAATATTTAAAACTTGACAGTCATCGTGGACTAATTAAATTGGCACCACCAAATAACAAAATAAACAAAAATATTAAGATATTTTACAACTTTCATCATTGTGTTCGCCGAATAGATTTAGCATAAACTGATTGAACATAGTTGTGACAGTAGCTATATTTATTTATATGATATGAACGTCACAATATTTTCGAAATCCGTTCACCAATAGCAGTGGTGTCAATGAAAAATACATACTTATATTGCATAAGTGCTGCAGGGTCTGTAAAATGTGAGCACATATCTTGAGTCTCATGCGGCCCTCGTAGCGATCCCACCGGTCGAACACCCGGAGGAGCACGCTACTCAGGCCTGTCTTCACGATCTGCATGCAGCACACTTCTGTGTGAGTTACGTAGGTACGTGTGATTCAAGTGGCATACACAGGACCCGGTCCACATGCAAACATATAAATTAGAAACATTTGTGAAAACATTGTGACAAATTGAGATTCGAGGGACCCACTAGGCAGAACGGATCGTATGCACTATAACCTCTAATGTATTATTGAAGTAATTTTAAGACTTTAGATACTAAATTATTAATTGAAACTTCAGTTGAATTCTGACTCTACAGAGACTGTAGGACAAGGTAAACTATAGGACAATATGGAGAATAAATTACATTTGGCGTCAATGCTCTTCTACTTTTTAAAACCAAAATTTTTAACAATAAAATTAAAATAATTCAGATTTTGTACCATATTTACAATGATAATTCCGTTAGGTCTCGGTAAATCTTTCATTTTGAATTTTGAACTAGAAATTATTGTGCCAGTAGGTGTAGGCGTAGATATAAGAATGAGCTGACAAGTACGATACTTCGATGTGTAGTGAACTTTGTGCGTATTCTATTGTATGCACTGATATTTAAAGGTAATTAATCACGTTAATGAGTCCAACACATAGAACATTCAATTGTAGTACATCAATTCATTAAATAACTACATTTTTTCCACTTAACTATTTTTGCTGAAGTAGTCTATAGCGTCCAAACATAATCGAAGTCTAGCGGTGGGGATGAATCCTAGGCTGACCAGTACTCGTTCATAAGTAGCGATCACTCCATCTCGGATCAAAATAGAAGTCGTGACAACTAGAATATTTACAATATTTATAGTAATTACACTTCGTGTTAATTACCAAAGTAATATTGAAACAAGATAATGGCTTACCATTTTTGGCTAACTGTTTCATTATTACTAACAGAGGAAAAATCAGTTTGTTGTCCGTAAAGTGACCTTTCAGTATTAGATGCATTGTTCTTACGCACCCAAGCATTCTTACTTTCATTGCGAATTTGGAATCTGCAATCAGATTAAGATATAATAATTTATTAAAGTATTGATAACTTTAGAAATGATTAAAAACCATGTCTACTATACATACTTTAATGAAACTTTTTTAAGTTGCAATGATTTAACATTTATAACTTAACCTCGAGAGCTGAGTGGTGCTAATATCCAGATAAGATCCTGTAATATCAGTTCTGTTCCCGAGTGTCGATCGCGTTTGTCATGCATGGTACCGATAACTCTTTTAATAATGACTTGTGTTCCTTTTATCGATATAAAGTCTTGGACGCACTGCTGCCGGATCAGGTTATTAGCTGGAATGATGAATATGTATTTAGGGCATGTACCTCGAGGTGCTAGAGAGGCGAGGATCCACACGAGGTCTTGCAGCATCAGTTCGGTGCCAACGTTGCCATCGCGTTTACTATGAGTGGCAATCAAAGTGCGGAGCAGAGATTGCGAGCCGTTTAATGATATGAAGTGCTGCGCGCATTGTTGTCTTGCTAGGTTGTTCACTGAAATTATCGACATGAAATTTCCAATTTTCCTATTTAGATTTGTAAATTCGACTCTGAGAATAATAGTATTTTATCCTAAAGCCACATTGTGGATATATATTGTTTTAAATTCTAGCGTGCGCTAACGCCCACGATATTAGTGTCTTGTATTATGCCCATTGTCAAAATGCGTAGGTGTATTAATTTGATTGAAGATAACAGTACGGTGAAAAGACAATTGAATAATATACATTGTATTGTCGTTCTAATATTACAGATTACAAGGTCAAATAGTCAACTTGTCCAATGTCAAGCAATGCTAAGTGAGCGTGTCTTAAATGTCAGTAGGCAGGTTTGTCACATAAGCAAAAAGGTTATTTGGTAAGACAGCTGTGAGAATTCCAGGCATCTCGAATTTCGTAGTGCAATAAACTTGTATAAGTACATAAATATAGTCATAACGATACCGACAGAATAATTAGTAATCATGTACCAAACCTATTTTACAAACTATAATAACCATGCAAAGCAACTTATCAAAAAGTGACAAGGTGTATTTAAATATATTAGTGGCCAGTTAAAAAACTTAATAATGTAGCCAAGGATATAAGCGCCACACTCGACATACCCTTTTTATTGAGAGGCGCTTTGTTTTCTTTGCCTGATTTTTTATTTTCTTTCTTCCTGTTTGGTGGTGGCGCTTCTATTTGCACTGGGACGCGATAATTGGTCAAATAAATGGAAGGTAGTATAATATTTTATGATATATTATAGAGAATTTAGTAAACATGTGCGTATTACCTGAGGTTTTCTTTCCTTTTCCCTGTTTTAAACACAAAACTTCTCTCAATATAGACGTTATGTAAGTGGAAGTGGGTGTATCTCTAGAGCTCTGTAATTTTTAATTCATAAATTTTAATAGTTATATAATATTGATATGTTTAATATCTGACTGAATTCAAGTAATTTAATTTTGAGTCTTACTTCAAGTATGGAGAGCAGCATTTGTATCGCACCCGATTGTTTGTTCCACAATTTATCCAAAGTGCTTTGACGTACATGTTTATCTGAAACAAAATGTTAATGATTAATATAATTGTATCTCTAATAATTGTGAATACTTATTAATAGGCGTATGTATATATATAATAGGCGTAGGTACTGTTAGTGGATGATATATATAAGTAGTAGGTATCGGAGATGTACGTATATTGTTATTCAATAATGCTAAAAATGTTGAAAGAGTATAAAAAAAATAACCGTGAATCTAATTTTGTGTATACGAATTAATGGTATTAATTCATATTTGTTTCTATGAAATTGGTAAAAGCAAAAAGGAATAACACCTACATTTATTTTATCAGCAATATTATAATATCAGTCTGATGCATATTTCATATACATATCTTATATCAAGGTTAGTTATTTATTATTTATAGTTTAACATAGGACAGATCTATTTATGGTGTTGCTTGAGCTGTTATCAATAACATAACTAAACACCCGTTTTATCTAAGTGTAAGGAAGTTGGTAGATATTTGGCATGATGCTACTGTCTTTGAATATTTACTGGCCCAGAAGGCGAAACTATTTTAGGATCTATCATCGAATTTGTAGTTGACAATAAACCAAGTACATATTAGAGTAAATTATGTTACATCAAGGATTTGGACTACATACAAAAATCTTAAAGTGTCATTTTGGTAGTTAAATAACAAAAATAAATACTTATATTTTAACGATCTAAATACCATACAGATCAATATTAAATTCTATCAACATTCAAATATAATGAAGGGATGCCAATTTATATCACTTAAACAATTTGTCACATGTAATTGATGTATTTGCCATTTAATCAGATAGTAAGAGTTTCGATCACGAATGACCGCGCCCGAACTCTTCCGCGAGATGCTTTGTAGGCACGACAATCGGAGGCCAACTAGTGGTCTTTACTCTTTAGACTGATCAACTAAAATTAATATATTCGTATATATTCCACATTCTCGTATAATTGCGCAAAACGATATGTAGGTATGGTGTTGTTACAAGTATAATCATTCTGAATTAACAATGTGAATTATTTACATTTCGAACATATTTAGTCATAGGCACCTAATTAATATATTTTTATTACGTCGCTTGAATTATAAATGATTTTAATCATCTACATTCTATCCTTACTAGTGTCTCTTGGTTTCGAGGCGATACAGGATCTATTTGATGGTGACATCTAACGTCATCTTAAACCATCCTGTTACCTGAATCCTTCTACTATCATATTATGTGTTCTGTTAGAGTTTTATTGAACATTCAGCTGACATTTGGAATGTAACTTATTCTGTTCTACCCACATTACTACTTACTTGTACGTTGTTGTTGTTATTACTGTCAGTATATTAAATTAATTTTGTAACACTATACCATAAGTTTACATTATTGATCAGTAATATATCTATAAAGCAATGAAACTCCTTTTCTGATAAAAGGAGTTTCATTGCTTTTCTGATATAAATGTATGTACATATACTTACTACAGGAATTTATGAATAAAACGATTTCCGCAGTGCTCGGTGTGACGATTGCCGCGGAAGTAATCATAAATTAGTTCAAGTATATTGTTGTTTATGTGGCGTTGTATAGTGCAGTAAATGGCCTAGTGGTAAGTGGCAATGACATGTCGTCTCGGTCGTGCTGCTCTTGGCTCCCAGCCAGTGGGACACGCGGGGTAGTGACGACACAGGTTAGTATGGGTAGTCTGACGGAACCAGTACATGTTCCACAAAACTATATATTGATGGACCTTACACTATTGATCAGTTATAAAATATAACAAAATGTGTATAGATACTTAGTTGCTGCTGGCAACATGCCATGTGAAATATGAATATACGCCAGAACGGTTGTTACCATTTTGACTTATTTGCCATTAAAATTATTGGGTAGAATTACAATTTATTGGGATTATTTTCAGTACGATATATTGGTAAAAACAAGAACTAGTAGGTTCACATTGCTTTTATTAAAATTACTAATTGTTTTTGGATATTCTTGTAATTGTAAACAAGTTGATAAGTCATTTGATGGTAAACTATAACCGTCACCTATATCATCATCATCATCATCATCATCGCAGCCTGGAAGACGTCCACTGCTGGACATAGGCCTCCCCCAAAGATCTCAACGACGTCAGTCCTACGCTGCTCGCATCCAATGCCTTCCAGCGATCTTGACCAGATCGTCGGGCCACCTTGCTGGAGGGCTTCCCACGCTGCGTCTTCCGGTCCGTGGTCGTCACTCGAGGACTGTCCCAACGGCCAACTGTCCTACGAGCTATGTGCCCTGCCCATTGCCACTTCAGAGTCGCAATTCTTCGGACTATGTCGGTCACTCTGGTCCTTCTGCGGATCTTCTCATTTCTGATTCGATCACGCAGAGTAACTTCGAACATAGCCCTCTCCATTGCCCTCTGAGTGACTCTGAGCTTGTTCATGGCTCATATTATAGGCCCATAGTTAGCGACCACATCTCTGTACCATTCATGAAGTCATCATTGGCAACACACATTGGTCGTAAACCTTCGTCTTGAGACACTGCGGAAATTTGGACGAAAAGATATATAGGAGCTTCCTGAACGCTGCCCATCCGAGTTGGATTCGACGATTGACCTCTTTCTCGTGGACATGGGCGTTTGACATAATTTTCGTCTTGTCCATGTATATCTTAAGACCTACTCCTTGTGAGACTCTACTGAGGTCTTCGAGCATTTTGCTAAGGTCTTCCAGGATCTCAGCCATGACCACGATATCGTCGACAAATCGAAAGTGATTGATGTACTCGCCGTTAATGTTGATGCCCAGCCCGCTCCAGTCCAGAAGCTTGAAGACATCTCCCAACGCGGCGGTAAACAGCTTTGATATGACATCGCCTTGCCTGACACCTCGCTGCAGTTAGATACGCTTCCAATTCTGGTCGTGGAGGCAAACTGACATAGTGGCGTTTTCATTCAAACATTTCAACGCTGCGATATATCGATAGTCAATTTGGCACCGCTGGAGAGACTGTAGCACTGCCTACGTCTCGATCGAATCAAAGGCTTTTTCATAGTCCACAAACGCCAAGAAAAGTGGCAGGTTGTATTCTTCGGTCCTCTGAATTACCTGCCGCAGCGTATGAATGTGGTCTATGATACTGAAGCCTTTTCGGAACCCGGCTGTTCGGGAGGCTGGAAGTGCGCGCGCTGGTTCAAACCTGAGCGCGAGACGATTCGTGATGACCCCCGAAAACAACTTATATACATGGCCCAGCAGTGTTACGGGTCTGAAATTCTTGAGAAGCGATTTGTCTCCCTTCTTGAAGAACAGAACCACCACACCACCCTTTGCCATGCTTGAGGCATTCTGCCCTCGAGGATGACGGAGTTGAATAGCTTCTGGAGTATTCATAAAACAGGTCTACCGCCAGCCCTCAGAAGCTCAGGAGTAACTCCATTATCGTCCGGCGCTTTGTTGTTTTTAAGTTGTTTAAGAGCCATACCTATCTCGTACAGGCTGACGTCCGGGATATCTTCGGTATAGTGTCGTTAGTGTTAATTTGGCTCTAGGGTCTTTCGCCGTATTGTTAACAGGTGCCCGTGTTGTCGTGTATAACTGTCCATAGAACTTCTCAATTTTCCTCAAAAGTTCGGATTTAGACGATGCGATCCTGCCGTCATCCGTCTTAAGTCGCATCAGCTGGCTCTGTTCGGCAGTCAGATCCCTGTTAAAGACTTTTGAGCCCTTGTTTTTCTCAATAACCTCCTTTACAGAATTTGTGTTAAACACCGTCACCTATATACATGAACAATACCAAGGAAATCACATAATCATGTGACGCCTGTGATATCAGTCAATGCGTTACCGTTTCAGACGACTAAGGTATCGTGTAATTCTTCCTCTTACACTGCCTAATTTCACCCTACAACCGAAACATAGCTTACAAAGCAATACAATATTACTTTATACAAAGTCTTTCTCGCTATTTTCTTGTCTTGCTATTTATAGATATAATTAAATTCTGACTCACGCTTTATATAATGATATTACGAATAATTGGTTTCTATTAATAATAAATTTATATACATCTACTTTAAATTTACATATTGCTTTTATGCAAATTTCAAATTTGTAGAATAAGGAAGTAAACTACTCATCTATAAATTGCAATCAATAATAATAATTTTACCAATTAAATACTGCCGAATGACGGGCCCTTATAGAAATCAAAACATAATAATAATAATAATTTTAGTAGTATTCTTTGTTTATATAGGATTGACACATCAAGAGAAGGGGGCGGACGAGTTCTTTTAGTAGCGCACGAATCCCTAAAATCTGAAGATAATGAAAATATAATTGGTAACAAACAAAACATTGGGAGAGAGCATGGCAACAGGCCGGCACGCAGACTGTCGGGCGATTACAGAGCATGTTTCGGTCACTCGGCGGTGTCAGAAGTTTTTCAAGGTTTAATACAAACACTAATGAAAATAAATAGTCCAGCTAAAAACGTTGGCAATAAAAAATACAGGCAGTATTAACTACGACGTCCACATGGCACTACATGTCAGTTTATAAGCATTAACAAAACAATAGAAGATTGTGGTGCTGATATCGGAAGTAGAAAACGACAAATTAAGTGTAATATTTCTGATTTATATAGGATTTTTGTAAATAGACTGACAAACAAGCTGAGGACGGTTGATCCGCCCGGTACAGTGGTGACCGTCGCCTATATACGAGTACATGCATATTATATTATTATGTGACGCCCGTGATAACATTGATATGTTCCCAATCTGGTGAATTAAGATTTAATATCCTAATTCATCAGAATAGGAACACATGAATGTGATCACGGGCCATTATAACTATATTCTGTAATTTCATAGATCAGTGTCCATCCATCACCGGACACATGGCATAGAAAGTAAGCTGCTTTTTGGCCGAAATAGGTGTGACTGAAGTACCCACGCAGACGACTCTACAAATTTAACCTTGGTATTAATTACATGGTTACAAAATAAAAC